TATATGAAGGTGGTGCTACATGCACGGGCTTATTCCAAACAAATGTGTTCAAAAGCGGGCCTCTGTGATCAGCAGATGGCAGAGATACATTTTCTCGGGCACACGTGTCTCACCCTCATGAGGTGCTTTCAAAAACAAGGCCCAACAAAAACAGAGCCTTCCAAAGAGCTCTGCTCCACCCACTGAATTCCACACCGAGAGTCCAGCGCAAGGTTGTGACAACTGTTTGGAACTCCCAAGGGGCACTCTTGAAAGGTTTTTTTCAAGAACATAATATAACGAACAAGTTTTAAGAAAATGTAAAATTGCGTTGGTGAGAAAAAGGCCAGGAGGTAAGATGCTCATAGGAATCCCCAATCATTACATGCACCTGCTCATTCCTGGAGGGCAGTGAGGGCTGTCCTCTGAGAATTTCATTGGAAGCCTTACCCTCCACCTTCCAGCCCTGATTGTTGTTGTTGTTGTTCCCAAAATGCTAAAAACATTAATAGTCCCTTAAAGATGGAAAAACTACTGTTTTGATGTCGTGTAAATTGAAGAGCACAGAATTTTTCAGGGAAAAATTCAGAAATGTATAGATGGAGGATATGTTGAGAAACAGCTTGACATTTTGATGTTTTTGTTAAATTACTTTTCATTTTGTAAAATACTTTTTATTTACCCTTCTATGTCAATACTTTTACTTTTGAGAATGAAACTATTAGTTAAGGGGGAAAAGGAACAACAACAACAAAAGATTTACAAACTAACAGGGGCATCTGCCTGCTCAGGGAGTGACCGGGGACTCTGTGAGAGCAGTCTGGGTAACCATCTTAACCTAGAAGCTGGGCCCTGTTGAACACCTGAAACATAGAGTTCAGGTGAATTTGAAAGAAACCATGAAAGAGGCCCAAGGACAGACTTAGTAACTAATTAGAAGGTGGCGTGATCATCTGTGGACCTGTGACCCCTCCCCCTTTAGCTGTGCCTTTAAAGACTAGAGGTGTTTCCCTAGGTAACAGGGACCCGTTCTCTTGAGGCATACCTTAAGGTAGCCTTCTCACCTGAGAGGCAGAGCCTTCCTCTCTTTGGAAGTAACCCCATGCTTTCATAAAGCTCTGGCTTCACTCTGCAGCGGTGTGTGAGTGTGGCTTACACAGGTGGAGCTGGCTAGTTCCTCTGTGGAAGACAACTGGGTGGGGAACGGCATTCTAACAATGTTGTAACGAATAATGTAACTCAACATAGAAAGATTTTACAATACACTGTTGTTAATATTCATGAGATATTTCTTTAAAAAAAAAAAGATATTTCAAAAAAGCAAACTTTTTGCCATCGAGTTGATGCTGACTCACAGTGACCCTATGATAGGACAGGGTAGATCTGCCCCTGTGGGTTTCCGAGACTGTAACACTTTATGGGAGTACAAAACCCTCAGAGCAGCTGGTGGTTTTGACCTGCTGACCTTGCAGTTAGCATTTAGCAATTTACAACGATATCAATCACACAGTATTCTATAATTAAAACTGCTAATAAATGGTACTGAGGATTCTGTATGGTTTGGTATGGGAGGAGGTCCATGGGGGCCGGGTGACATCTGGATTGACTGCACTATAGAACTGCTTATATTTAGGTAAAAAAGACAGTGGACATTTTTGCAGAGGTGACAGGCTACATTTTGTGACAGAAACATACAAAATGGGGTCCCTTAGGGCAAGGAGCAATTTGGCCTGGACCTTAGCCAGAAGTTTTCGTCTTATCAAACGCTTTACATTTTTTAAGTTCTTTTGCAAATACTTGGCTGCTGAGTGAAAGGTTGGTAATTCAAATCCACAGACGCACCTCAGATGAAAGGCTTGGTTCTCTCTTTCA